TAAAAGGAGCACCTGGATCAGCAGAATATATGATGGTCTTACATTTACTTTGTGCCCCACAGCACCATTGTCAGTTATTATAGCAGAACAGGTTGGTCTTCTTTTGTCACCTTGAGTCCCATTACAACTTTGAGGGTGCCACGGGAGAGACAAAGCTGGGAATTACAGGAGTCCAAAGCAACCACAAAGTGCAGATGCAGTAAGTATCAGTGAAGTTTAATTCCAGGAAAGAAAGGAAAGAAGATGTACTTGATGCATTCAATGTTTACATGTTATGTTGTTTTTTATTATATGGGTCTCAATTCTATTCTTACTTCTAACTAGAGTAGAACCATTGAATTGACAGAGTTTTCCTATATATTGACTCAACATTGAACAATTGATTCAATGGGATCGTAACCAGGCAGAGTCTAGCTATAGAATATTTTGTCTCAATATACACCACCTGATATTCTCTTAGGATGAAAATGATGATTTCAAGTTTTAAGAACAAACAAACAAAAAGCAAATAAAATAAAATAACTAATGGAAGAATTGACCTAGCTGGGGATATTGGAATTTATATTCCTATTCCAAACTAAGGAATTGTGAGGATTAATGATGTTACTACAGATCATAAACCACAGTCAGAATTTCTAGATCTACTGAACATATTTTCCGAGCCAACATTTTTCAGTGGAGTCCATTCATACATGCAGCTCTGCCTCTGAGTCCTCAAATATGAAGATATAAATCGGCATGTATATTGGCCACAGAGTTTTGGGGCTCCGTTTCTACTTATGGTTATGTCTTGGGTAATTTTTTTGAGTTTGTGTGAAAGAGGTCTTCCAAAAAACTCCTTGCACAATGCCTTTGTCCTTCAGTGTAGGGCAGCCAAACCACCAGCATAGCTATTTTCCTAGCTGCCAATTTTCTGAGCTCTCTAAGTGGTCTTGTGTACCCAAAACCAAAGAAGTTACTTCCATCCTTGTCCAGGGGATGGTGGAGGGGTAGAGATAGTAGATTCCTTCCTTGTCTTCCATGTGCACTAGGGTAACCAAACTGCTTTTCGGCAGCCAATCAGTTTTAGATTGTGTCTGAGAGCTATTCGTCAATTGGCCCTACAAACTTAGGGGAAGAAAAGAAGCTGTTCCTTTCTGGACCACCAATATAAGGTACTCCACCTGCATAACTATTGATTAAGAGTTCCTGCTGCATTTCTATAAGGATTTCTTATCTTATAGTCAGTAGTGCTGACTACTGATACTGCTGTTGGAAGGAAAAAATGAAAGCAAGGGAAAGCATCTTTACGAGTGGGGTCCCAACTTACCTTGGCAAGATCCATTTTCATGGATGGCTGTCATCACACGATGTTTCACCATCTTCTACCAGCTGTCCTCCACTTCCCACCCCTTTCTTCAGTCAGGAGTCAGGGAACACCCAACTCTTGAAAACAGAGTAATCTCTCCATCTTTACACACCGGCAAGACAAGCAGCCACCAGAAGTGTTCATGCACCATGGCAAGGCCTCAGATGGAATCTATTTTGCCAGTGTACAAAGATAGCAAGAAAATGGGGAAATTAGAGTGGGATAATGTCATCTGATAAGTGTGATTTTCTCCCAAGAATGGGATGACAAATTTGCCATCAAGAGCTAGGTACTCGGGCAGATGTGATGAGTATTACATTAGAAATTAGTATATATTAACTCAGATCAACAAATTAAATCAAGACTGCAATATATGTTTTTGGTGGGGAACGTAATAGATACATCCCTTGAGGTTTTGGGTAGGCAATCAAAGCTTCTATAATCATTAAAAGCAATACTAAAATTTGAACTGACATTTTTTATAACAGAGCACAGATGCAAAAATATATGTGTGAGTCATTATTGTGCTGAGAAGTTCTATAAGACCGTAAAAGAACTGCCCAAGGGAAGTATGTATTACCTGTGAGGATAAAAGAAGCTGCAGAGAAGCAGTAAAAGCACATCCTCAATTTATTTTACACCTTCTATATGCAATAGAGATTCTTCCCCCTAGAATCTCATCAACTTCAGCAAAGACTACAGCTGAAATCCTTCTCTTAAATTGTCATGTTTACCCAGGACCTTCCACCACAATGTTTCAGAGAATCCAGTGAAACCCAACACAAACCAAGCAAGGTACCATTGCATAAAGAAACAGACTGGCTGATCAATCTTTTAGTTAAGGTGCAAATATCCTGCTGGGCTATAATATTAACATATGCAGCTGTGCTAGCCAAGCTTAGATTTTTTAAAAAGGAAATCAACAATTTCTAGAATTTCTCAGTCAGCATGGCTAATGACCATGTTGGCTGCAGAATTCAAGAAAATACAGAGCAGAATTGCATTTTGAAAGCTCTGGCTTCAAAATGAATAAAGCCATTAATCAATTTGGCTCTCTCCTGTTTTCTCCACATCCAGTGCCTGTTGAGGAAACTGTATGCACATCTTTCTCTATGTGTATATGTATAAATAAATACACACTCCTCCACAAAACATCTCACCACATTCCTATGAGCAAACTCCCTAGCACTCACTGCTAGAAATAGGGAAATAGTAGTCTCAGAAGCTGGGGGATAGCACATCATCTCTGAAGGAGAAAAAGTAAATAGGGTCCCAATAAATTCAAAGACCATACAGAGAAGCAGGTAAAGGCTACATGTAGCCCAAGGACTATGGATTGTTTTCTACTGGTTTATTCTAACTGGCAGTATTTCTTCATATTTGATGGTCAAAATATATATGGGATGTAAGAAGTGCCAAGATGTTTAAAAGTACTAATATAACCTTGAGGGACCATTTGAATCAGGAGCGGGGTAAATGCTGGTCAATTATATCACCATGAACAGATCGCTCATTCTGTTCTATTATGGAACTACTCCAGATTGTCAGGTTTCTGCAGTGAACAGAAAGCTTCTACCTTGGCTTTGTCACCAGATCCCACTCAAAGAAATTGAAAAAAAAATGTTTGTTTTAGAATAGAAAATAAAGGACTCTGGTTGACCTATAGGAGAAGCCAATTCCTTGATCTTGAACTATAAGAAATTCTGCACATTTATCTGTTAAACATGATATAAAGAGACATACACTGAAAGGAGTCTCTCCCCCCCCCAAAAAAAATAGCATGAGATAATTTCAAAGAGCATCTGTAAATGTGTGAATTTATTTAGCGTTCATTCAGACAACAACCATGGTTCCACAGTTCTGCTCACTGTCCAGTGAATTATATGTAACTTTAACAAACAATCTGGTCTCTTTACTGACTGAAGCATAACTCCATACTGCCAATGCCCATTATAAATATAAATGCAAAACACATATTCTTTTCCAATAAATATACAAGGATTTCTTCAGACTGACTTTGAAATATAAATAGATATATAATTCATTAAAAAATTATAGAAAAAAGACATGTACTTCCAAACAGAGTTTGGAGTCCATGTTTTAATAATAATCATAAATGGGGGGGGGGGGGGGGGGGGGGGGGGGGGCATTAAAACAACCCTATATTTTCATGTATAAGTCTAGAAATGTTTGTCAAACAATCAACCCCACAAACCTGGATTGACTTATCCATGGGTCAGTGTGAGTACTGTACCGTAACTTTTATCAACAAATACATTATCCACTTTCAAAGTCAGAAAAACCTAAAAGAAGCACCAACTTCTCTAGTATATCACGGCACTGCTTCTGATCTTTCTGAATTCTTAGGTATGGAATGGTGACAGTTAGAGAAACAATGCCCTCCCCCTGTGAGTGCTTTCTCCTCTCCACAGAATGACCCTTAATGTATCCACAAATCGGAGCCCCCGGTGGCGCAGTGGGTTAAAGCCCTGTGCTGGCAGGACTGAAGACCAACAGGTCGCATGTCCGAATCCCGGGAGAGGTGGATGAGCTCCCTCTATCGGCTCCAGCTCCTCATGCGGGGACAAGAGAGAAGCCTCCCACAAGGATGACAAAACATCAGAAATCATCCGGGCGTCCCCTGGGCAACGTCCTTGCAGACGGCCAATTCTCTCACAACAGGAGTGGTTGCTCCTGACACGACAAAAAAAATAATAATATCAAAATTCACACCTTTGGCCCCCAAACCTGATCTTGACTTAAACTATGTTTTCTCCAAATAAAATGTACAATAAAGTCTGAGTATATGAAGATGAGATGCAAGAGGAAAGTAAGAGAAGTTGTGGTTATGACTCTTAATGACAGCTAGAAACAAACAAATTTAATGGGAAATTAACAGACTGCTGTAATCATTCAAGGATTATTGATGTTGCTGTCGCTTCTTGTTTTGGAGCTCCATTCATCAAGCAAAGGGAGGGGTACCATAGCCCACTCTGGGTGGAAAAAAAGTATCCTGACATGGATATGTAACTAAGGAAAAAGAGGAAAGACCTGCAAGCAAACTAATTTTCTTGCAGTCTCACAATATAAACAGCTATTTCTGCAGATACATCATCTGATGGATCAAAATATTAAGATAAGTTGAATATAATGTTTTTCCACCAATTTACTTTTGATTTTCACAAAACAGTGAGGAACATGTTTGGTGTTTTGAAAGGTTTTTTTAAAAAATGAATCTAGTTGTAAGTAAGAGGAGACTCAAGCCGATTTTACACTGCCATATAATCCAATATTTGATCCCAGATTATCTGCTTTCAACTGGACTATATAGTAGTGTAGATACATATTATCCAGTTCAAGAAGATAATCTAGGATCAGATACTGGATTATATGTAATGTAGATCCAGCCTCAATGAATCAATGGGTAAATCAAAGCCCATAAAGTTCCCACCAAACATACCGTAGTACAAAAATAAAATTATTATAGTTGGAAATAAAATGGATTTATATGTATAAACAGTCTTTCCACCCCATTTTCATCCATTGGATATGTTCTTACAGTGCCATGGAGTTCATTCCAGGAAGTGCTACGCATTTTTGAGTGATGAGAAACACTGACAAGAAAAAAATTTAGACGAGAATATTTGCGGTTTGGAATCAATTCTGCACACATTTCATTTACAGAGAAAACATCATTTTCTGCAGAGAAAATTAATATTTTTCATGCAGGAAATGCTGCTTCCTGCACATAAAATGAAGTTTTATGCAGAAAACAGACACATACAAATTTTGCATAGAACAAATCCTGAATTACAAATAAATTTTGAAAACTAATTTTTGAAGACTTTCTCACAGCTGGAAGAAAATGGTGAATTTACTTGTTGATAAGTTTAGGAACAAACATAATAAGGAGTTGAATCTTTAGTGATGCCAGAATGCATAGGAAGAACCCTGCAATACTATGAATATGAAAATGGCGAAACAATCTTCAAACATCTTTTAACACTCATTAAAGTGCCCCTCTGTTACACAAAATTTCATCAAAGTTCCCCTTTTCATTAGTCTCTTTCATCTCTCTGTCAATTTCCCACTGAAATGCTGGGAGAAAAAGGAAGAGGATTTTAAAAAACAAAAAGAATTACAGGAAAAACACTTTAAATTTTTTACATCAAACCCATTATGACAATATAGAGACATCGCCTACTGGCATTTTTATAGTAGCACCAGGTATCACAAATCCTTCCCAAGTCTTTCAATTTCTTCCAAGAGGAAATCGATGTCAGATTTCTTAGTTGCAGAATTCGAGAAGACCATTCTGAAAAAATTCACATTGTCCCCATGAGGCTGATAGCTAACCATTGTTGTGCCTTCTTCCATCATCCTTGCTTTTATTTTTGGTGCAATCTAAAACAAATACAGTTGGTTTTTTTTAAATGAAATACTTTCTGGGATAATACCATGAATAATATTGCGTACAGTAGGATACACAATACAGACACAATACAGTTCTAGAATCAAAATGGGAAAAAAGTAATAGAGAGTGTATATATAGGAGCTGAGGTATGTTGTACTAAAAATATTGAAAATTAAAATTTTGAATGACATGCTAAAGTGATAAGACTTCAATGTTACACAATGATGTGTAGCCTTTTATAGAAGACATGTAGTAATATTCAATATTGATTAAAAACATAAGCAAGAATTTTGAATTTCTGGCTAAAAGTAAATAACAGATGAAGCACGACGAGGGCTTCACCATAGAACAACTACCTGATGAAGCCTTCTTTCTCTTTCTGGTCCCCTCGGGATCTTCTGAAGACTTGGTGGGATGTACCAAAAACACACATTGGTGAGTTCAGGCTTTGAAACACAAAGAGTAAAACAGAATGTGAAACAGTTGGGCATATCTGCAACAAAAGTTTATCTTTATTTAATTCAAGTGGCAACATTCTAAACTTTATTTGCCTCTTAATCCATGTTTATGTTTTTATTCATAAAACACACAATCATCATGTTGTATCGGCCCAAACAGATGAAATTTGGATCCTTATGTCACAATCAATAGCTTTTTTGGATTAAATGAAAAGTTTGCACTGTCAACATGTTTATAATGAGTAGGAATAAAACTTGTTACTCTTTCCAACTATACATACATACACATGTACACATAAATAATCAGTTATGATAAGGAAATAAGTGTAGATGTGTAGATGAAAATGACACTATAATTTATACTTTCCTCGGCTGGATGAGGAAGGTAAGAATGAATACAATGGCATGATACAAGTTGTTACTTGAGTGACATGTGTCATTTGATTTGTTATTATTAAAAGTGACATGTTATGTTGTTGTGACAATAATTGTTGGATTTTATTTATTTATTTGCTTTATTTCTATACCGCTTTTCTCAGCCCGTTAGGTGACTCAAAGCAGTTTACATAATAAAGGTTATCACAACAGTATCATAGGCAATTAAAACACATTATACATAACAGACAAAATCAAAAAACAATCATTATCATAACGCCTCAACAGCAAATCAGAATCCATTCTCATAATCCTGTACCATTTTCCTATGTTCGATTATACWATCTTCCTGTATTCAGTTGCACTGTTTAGCCAAATGCTTGTTCGCAAAGCCAAGTCTTAACCTTCCTCCGGAATGCCAACAGCGAAGGGGCCTGTCTGATGTCTACAGGTAGGGCATTCCACAGCCGAGGGGCCACCACCGAGAAGGCCCTGTCCCTCATCCCRGCCAAAGGCGCCTGTGATGCAGGCGGGATCGAGAGCAGGGCCTCCCTAGACAATCTTAATGTCCTAGTCGGTTCATAGGTGGAGATGTGTTCGGAGAGGTAATTAGGGCCGGAACCGTTTAGGGCTTTATAGGCTAACGCCAGCACCTTGAATTGTGCCCGGTAGCAGATTGGCAGCCAGTGGAGCTGGCGCAACAGAGGAGTGGTATGCTCCCTGAGTGCCACTCCTGTTAGCAACCTGGCTGCCAAGCGCTGGACCATTTGAAGCTTCCGAGCAGTCTTCAAGGGCAACCCCACGTAAAGAGCYTTGCAGTAGTCTAAACGGGATGTAACCAGAGCGTGGACCACCATGGCCAAGTCAGACTTCCCAAGGTACGGGCTGGATCTCTTAGAGCTGAAAGAACACTGGCAATACTTATTAAGTGAAAGGGTTTTATCTGGGAAAAATATATAACTAGATTATAACAGAATAGGAACTCCTTAAGGAATTAGGATCTTATTGCACAAGGGAGACAAACAGGCTCAGTGCTGCATGCATCCCATTGTTGGTCCGCTTGACATAAAGTGACTATTTTCCTTTTATTTTATATTTGCTTCTTTGCTTTTGTTTTTAAATTCTGGAATTGCACAACTGTGCTAAAATAGAAAAATAATAATTAAGGAGTAGTAGTGTTGTAAGACGAAGGGTTTGTGAGGATGGGAAGTAGTATGATTATGGAATCACGGATTGGCAAACTGGTGAATTGGCAGGTGACATATTGAGGGAGTTCAATGTGGTATGTATCCACACTCAATGACAAAGTGACTGTAGAATAGTGGGTCTGTGTGATAAAGTCTTTACCATCAATCATATAAAACTATTTGTGAAAATAGATATGCACTGGTTATTATTTATAGTAAATTTTTAAACTCCCTACTTACCTCAGCATTGAAAACAAGTTCATAGTGTTTTCTTTTCTTCAGTTGTTTATAAAGGTATTCTGTGTGTTCTAAAAGTCTGTTGATAAGAATTTCAAATCCTTGTGTGCCCTGTAAGATATCAGGCAGGGGACAGAAATACTAAGGTAAGTTTTTAGTTTTCCATTCGGTTTCCATCCTTACAGTTTAAGTCCTCATATCATTCTCGCTAGCTAGCTATCATAATCTATCTAGCCATCTGATTTATAATCTGCGTTTCTCCTCATAGAAAAAAAATCCCAGATTTGTAGAAACTACTTTTGGGACTAGAACATCCACAACCTTCTAGTTATGTTGAACTTCAATGGCCTGGGAGATACAATTGTCAACTCCTCCAACTTCACAGCTCTGGGGTAGTAAATCTAGTTTCCTGCTATTCTCAGATTAGTTTATATGAGTCAGATTTCTATTATGTGTAACTATGGTATTTATGGTATTCCATTTGCCTCCAGAAATAATTGTTCTAGGTAACCTACTCAAGAAAACAGAGTAACTGAACGGTTTGGGACCACCCTACCTGCGTGATCGCATCACAGTCTACGAACCCACACGCTCACTCCGGTCATCAGGAGAGGCCCTGCTCGTGATCCCGCCCGCGTCGCAGGCGCGTTTGGTGGGGACGCGGGACAGGGCCTTCTCTGTGGTGGCCCCCCGCCTCTGGAATGCCCTCCCGAAAGATCTCAGACAGGCCCCTACTTTGGCGGTTTTCAGAAAGAACCTGAAAACCTGGCTGTTCCAACGTGCCTTCTCAGATTAGGAACCCCACTACCAAACCCCAGAAGCACTTTAGTAGAATCAAGATCACCCTCACCGCACACTGCACTTATATTTTAATCCCATATCCCTCCGACACTTCAGCACTTTTTAATCCTGTACCCTACTCCGGCCGGCTCAGTTTTTAATAATGTCCTGTTGTCCTGTTGTATTGCTATTGCTATTGTTTTCTGCTTTAACTGTTTTATTTGCTATGTATTGTATTGTTGTATTGTGTTGGGCTCCGGCCTGTTGTAAGCCGCATTGAATCCCTTGGGAGATGCTAGCGGGGTACAAATAAAGTTATAATAATAATAATAATAATAATAATAATAATAATAATAATAACTATCATTTTGCACATCAAGCCAAATAATCAGCTCACTTGAATTCAAGATGACTACAGTTGACTCCTATATACATTTGTTCATTGTTTAATTTATTCACTTATGGCTTCTGTATAAGCTACCACTCATTTCTCAATACCTCCATCATTTATCCCATTGAAATGGTCTGGTTTGTTATTATCATGATCCCGTATAGATGGGAGACATATGGTAGACACTGAATACCTCTTAAGCTTTATAGTACAACACCACTATGAATGTGAGTTTTATGGTGCGTAGTGAATTTCAATTCTAGGCATAAATATTTGAATGTTTTATTTTTATTTTTCACTCATCATTCTTTTCTAATATATTTAATTGTCATCCATTGGGAAATAAATGCTTCTCATATGCCACATCCTACCTACAAAGTAGGTATTGTTATTTATTTATCACTTTTTACTAGGAGACCTAGAAAAAAAATATATGGGGGTTATTCTACATTATTATCATCACAACTTTGGAAGTAAAATTAGTCCGAAAATTGGTAACTTGACTTTTGCCATTTTAAAATCTTTATGTCAAAGCAGAGATTTGAATCCAATGAGGTCTAACAGTATTGATGCACTTGTAAATTACAGACCACTCTTTGGATTAGGAGAAGAGTTCTTTTCAGATACATTAGATCCTCCTTTTATGAGAAATCCCATAACTGGGGAGACACCAAGGTCAAACCAAGTTGAATTATATGATAGTTCCCCATTGTTCCATATCATGTACCAAAATCATTCACTATATAGGAGAGCAATAAATAGTGTATCACCCACAGTCCGGTTTTTCAACACCTTGCATCACTCCCTGCTTTTTAGCATCTGCTGCTGGAGGCACTTATTTCACTTTCCTAATATCATTTGGTTCTGATATTCTCTATTGTTAATAATATCTGGTGTAGTCTAGTTTTGCATTTAATACAGCACAATGAGAAGTCTATTGTGCTCATCCTATGTTATGTGTGAACTCAAAGTGTCACTTGGGACATCTCCTAAAAATGTCTCTAATGCTCTGTTAATCTGAATTGGTTCCCTGGCAGATAAGATAACATAGAAAGGAGTCATAAGCTGCCTTTGGTTAAGTGGTGGGTAGATTAATCTCATTTGTTTTTCTTCTGATTTCCCTCTTTCAGCCCTTTGGCTCTCTATCTATCTTCCTCCTATGGTCTTACATTAAGATTAGGCAACACATAGCCCATAACCTATTTGCAGTGCCACACTTGTGGATCCAAAGCCTAAAAACTCCATCACAGCCACAATCCTAAAAGGACTGAAGAATTGGAATTTAGTTTTTATATTACTTAATATGGGTCCCATAATTTGATTTAACTGGAGGAGCTTTCATTTTTTATTCAAAGGAGGTAATTTCATGAGTTTAGGAAGAAAAAACATTTCCATGTCCTGTTGAAATTTTCCATCCATGTTTTCACTCATCTTTTCATTTTTGCCTCTGAGGATAGTCCCTCTATTTAAAGTCCCCAGTGACTGCCACATCAATTTTATCCAATTTTACAAGATGCTCCCTACCTTGGCTCTCCACATTAGCCATAATTTGAAGATATCGACATGCCGGCCACACTGGATAGTTTTGTCCCCGGTGTCATAAGCTGTGTCATATTGTTTGTCTGGTTGGAAGAGATAACCAGCACAAAGCTGGTTACAGGCTTGAAGAAGACCCTAGGAAAGGAACAGAACTGTCAAAAGATGCTGCATTGGAAAACATCCTCTACCAAATAACAGTCCCTTGGCACCAAATGTAACTTTCATCTGTTGCCAGGTTTTCCTGATCACTATTTGGGTGATTGTTGGATATAGGCTAGAATACTGTATGAGAACTGTCGATCATACTGGAGAATTTTCTAGTAAGAGGAAATGAAGTATTAAAATGTGTGTGTGTTTTTATAATTGTATATAAACCATTTTGCAAGTCTTGCATTTGTCAGATGTATCAAAATAATATATAGTATCTAGAATGAAAACATGCTTGTCCCAGAAGCCAGCTAGGAAATTCTGGTCATAATTGGTAATCTGCCAATCCACCACTATGTCTCATAACTCACTAAGTCAGCCTTTCTCAACCTGGGGGTTGGGACCCCTGGGGGGTCGTGAAGGGGGTGTCAGAGGAGTCGCCAAAGATCATCAGAAGACACAGTATTTTCTGTTAGTCATGGGAGTTCTGTGTGGAAAGTTTGACCCAATTCTATCATAGATGGGGTTCAGAATGCTCTTTGACTGTAGGTGAACTATAAATCACAGCAACTACAACTCCCAAATGTCAAACCCTAATTTCTCCAAACTCCACCAGTATTCACAGTTGGGCATATTGAGTATTTGTGCCAAGTTGTTCCAGATCCATCATTGTTTGAGTCCACAGTGCTCTCTGGATGTAGTTGAACTACAACTCCCAAACTCAAAGTCAATGCCACCAAACCCTTTCAGTATTTTCTGTTGATCATGGGAGTTCTGTGTGCCAAGTTTGGTTCAATTCCATCATTGGTGGAGTTCAGAATGCTCTTTGATTGTAGGTGAAATATAAATCCCAGCAACTACAACTCCCAAATGACAAAATCAATCCGCCGCCCTCCGAACCTCACCCGCATTTGGGTGTATCAGTTATTTGTGCCAAATTTGGACTAGTGAAAGATAATACATCCTGCATATCAGATATTTACGTTACAATTCATAACAGTAGCAAAATTACAGTTATGAAGAAGCAATGAAAATAATGTTATAATTGGGGGTCACCATAACATGAGGAACTGTATTGAGGGGTCGTGGCATTAGAAAGGTTGAGAAACACTGCACTAGGTGTTTAGAAAGCCTTGCTGTTTTATTCGCCAACAAAAATAAGGGTTACAGGTGCCTTCCAACCAAGAGCACGTGGCAAGTAGAATGCATTTATGTTGTACATTGGGGTCATACATTACAAAAGACTGTGCTAGAATATAAAATACATAGGAGTGTGATACCTATGGTCTTCTGTGTAGTCTAAGTTTTTAGTTCCCCAAAGGGAATACTAGTCTTCATGGTGAGTGATAGGAGGTTATGGGAGTTGTAGTGAAAAACATCTGGTAGGTCAATTGTTCCTCATCCCTGAAAGGAAAGCTACATTTTGGGGGTGGAGGTGAGACCAATCAAATGTATGATCCAGAATGGAAAGCAAAGAGAGCCCCCAAACGCAGAAAAAATATCTCGAATTCTTGAGGGTTTCTAATTCTTTACATTTTAACTGTACTTGCTAATTCATAAGTTTTATCCAGTCTATTTTGTGAATTTTGTTGAGTTTCTTTCCCTCCTCTTTGGTGTCCTTCTCCTCCCATCGCATGTCACATTGTCCCATGGAACATTTCAAGAATTTATTTTCACCAATTTTCACTGAAACACTGCTGCTGTTGCTGAGTTATAGTCAGTGTGTTAAAGTGCTTTAGCAATTTTACACTAGTGAAGCATTAGGATAATTATGTTTCTGCTGAATCTGTGGCCTGGAAGCAATAACTTGTGACAGTGATTTTTATGGCTTCAGAGATAGCACAAACACATAGGCAAGTACAGTTACATCTCATCTTTGAAAATACTGTATTAATTTAAACCAACCAGAGGACTGTAAATTAAAAATCTTTGATAATGCTAGGAGTACCAAGAAAATACTTTGAGATGGAGCAAACATCATGCGGGTCTCAAAATATAATTGGAAAACACAGTACAAAACCTGGGACTTGATTCACTTTGCCCAGAAAACATGTACATCTTCCTGTAGGAAGGGAAAGGGAACTACCTTCTCATGGACTAAGAAAGCTGAGCACTGCAGTGGAACACCCATCAATTTGTGCGGATTCCAAGTGACAGAATTGGCCCTGAGTGAAGAGAATTAAAAGATAATGAACATGTCAGATTCGACCGTATAATCTCAAGCACGCATAAATATTAGGAGGCAGCATCAGCACAAAACCACACTGACCTAATAACATTTTACAGCTAGGTTTTTAATAAAGGCAACTTTGATCCATAAAGTTCAAAGCATTATCAAAACCACTCAACAGAATATGAGAGTGACAGACGATAAACAAAAAGAATTCTATTTGACTCTCAAAAGAAAGGATGTGTTGGATTTGCTGCTGAAAAAGCCTATCCTCACGGAGGACAGATATTTTTGCACATATTCCATCAAAGAAACTCTGTGCTTCTTTTCCTTGTCTTCCACAAGTGCTTCTTTCAATAAAAAAGCCTCACAATTTCTCCTATGAGTCACTATTACTACAGCAATATTCTTTACATAGTCAGCCTTTATATTCTAGTGTAGAGAGACAAGAATGACAGAGAAAGACGGTACTAATAAAGAACGCATCAGAGTGCTTACCTTTCAATACCATTTAGTTTATGGGCATGCCTTCTTGACAGTAGCAAACCTCCTCCCCATGCGGCCTATCAGAAATGAAATTGTTTCATTAGAGAAATCACTAGAAGCTTTACAAAATTGATCAGCAGTTCTGTTTGCAATAGCCAACTGTGAGTAGTTGGGGATTTGGGGGCCAAATCCTGGGACTCGGGAATGATCCTTTCTGATAGTAGACTCTTTTGATATTCTAAGAGGCAACTTCTGACGACATCATTCAGCATGATGCCTTAAGCACCATGCATAGTTGCACAGAGTATGCTATTCAAACAACAACCTCAAAAAACTACCATGAAAATACATATTGACCCACTTTTCAAGGCAATGCTTTCATCCTGATATTCCTCTTTCTACAATCAGATATCTGGCATCTGTAGAAGAATAGGACAATTCTTCCCTAGAAATATCTGGTGATCTATAGCTCATTTTGTGATATTTCGGGAAGCATGATGATACATCCTTAGAAGAGGGATGGAAGATCAATAAAGAGGGCAATATGAATATTGACTTCATATTTGTAGTTGCACAGAGCATAATATCATTTGTTTCCAATGAGATATTACATTCTATAGCAGTGATGGTGAACCTTTTAGAGATGGAGTGCTCAAATTGGGGGGTGGGAGTGAGGTTGGGCACTCAAGGGGCTGGCGGACAGGAGTGACAATCAGGGAGATGAGTGTGGTGTGACAAGCAGGGGGGTGGTGAGTGGGGAAGGGTAGTACAGGGGATGGCAAGTGGGAGGAGCAGGGGCAAGCYGGGGTGGCAGGGAGGCAGTAGGTAGCAGGCGAGAACCAAGCAAATTGTGAATGCYCAGAGGGTGGGTGGCTGAAGACTGAAGGCTAGAGACTAGCAGTGGGCAGGTGAGTGACAAGTGGGTGGGCAACAAGCAAGCAAGGGGGAGGTAGTGGGAGAGACGTGAACAAGCAAGGGGTCAGGCAGCAGATGGCAGGAAAGTGGCAAGCAAAAACGGGACATAGGCATCAGGCAACTGGTAGCTAGCAAGCGAGTAGTGAGAGAGCAAGGGAGTGGGCAAATGGGCAAGCAAGCGAGGGGGATGAGCGGGGGGGGGGGGACGGACGACAGCTCATATGCTAGGAGAGAGCACATTGCATGCCCCTTCTGGCACGCGTCCCATAGATTCACCACCACTGTCATATAGGAACAATACAACAGATTTTTTTAATTCCAGTACTTTTTTTATTACACATGATTTGARACTTACTATAATTCTTTATACACACATCATCATCATTCCATTATTTTAAGTACACTTATCAATCTAAAGTATTATTTAAAAGAGTTTCTCAGCCTTCTGTGCTGAATAAATGATTAGTCATGGGAGGAAAAAAATAGAATGAAGTGAATCAATCATCTTGGCCATGGGTGGTGCTTCTAATATGGTGAAGATCGCAATTTGAAGTGGTATTTGCATTAGGTAAATAATATAAAGAAATCCAGATAATTTTCATCCAACCCAAAAGGGATACACTTTTGCAGATTACCTCTGAACATAATATATGATAATAAATTATGATTGTAAGACAACCATCAGATATCTTTTTGTTCATCATCCAATATGTGTGTGTGTGTGTGTGTGCACTGCACACAAACATAAAACAGGGAGAAAGAAATAGAGACACAGAGAGAAAAGTAGCTAGTAAAAGCTTTAACTCCATTCCATACTAAGAAGTATGTAACTAAAAGCAATGACATTCTTACATCCACATGCATCCAGAGGTTGTACTTTTGACAAATGTCAGCAATGTTGGTAAGAGGATCAAAGGCTCCATATACTGTTGTCCCAGCTGTGGCACTAACGTACAGGGGAACCTTGCCCTGAAAAAGAACCCAAGATGATGGCCTGCATTAGTGCACAATCAATAAAGATCTTTTTTATTGAACTATCCCAATACTAAATAATAAAAATAAATCATTTCATCGAGCATATCTCTTGGAACAAGACAAAGTTTCAACTTACCTAAAGTAGGCAGTTGTGAGACCTATATTTAAAAAGTCATCCCTGAACCACTCCATAATGGATAACTATTGGCCAATATCCAACCTCCCATTTTTGAGCATGGTTTTGGTGCATGTGGTGGCCTCCCAACTCCAGGGAGTTTTGGATGAAACAGATTATCTAGATCCATTTCAATCTGGTTTTAGGCCTGGCTATGGAACAGAGATAGTTTTGGTTGCCTTGGTGAATGACCTACTCAGAGAGCTAGACAGGGGGAGCATGTCCCTGTTGGTTCTCCTGGATCTCTCAGTGACTTTCGATACTATGACATGATATCCTTCTGGGTCATCTCACTGGAATGGGACTGGGAGGCACCATTTTACAGTGTTCTTACAAGATTCCATTTTGTTCCCCATGCTGTTTAACATATACATGAAACTTCTGGAAGGGGTCATCCAGAGTTTCAAAGTACAGTGTCACCTATATGCAGATGACACCCAACTCTACTACTCCTTTCCACCTAATGCCAAGACAGCTGTCATGACTCTTACCCATGCCTGTCATCAGTAATGGATTGGATGAGGGCAAACAAATTGAAACTTAATCCAGAGAAGGCAGGGGTACTTCTGGTCAGTTGGAAAGTAGATAGGGGAACAGAGATTCAGCCTGTGCTGGATGGGGTTACACTCCCCCTGAAAAAATAGGGAGTCCTCCTGGACTCAGCACTAAACCTGGTGGTAGCCAGGAGACCCTTTGCACAATTAAAATTTGTGTACCAACTGTGCCTGTTCCTTAGGAAGCTAGATCTGGCCACTGTGGTACATGCCTTAGTTTGGATTACTATGATGCGTTCTAAGTAGGACTGCCTTTGAAGACTGCTCAGAAACTTCAGCTGGTCCAAAGAGTGGCAGCCAGGTTGCTAACTGGGGCTGGCTACAGAGAGTAGACAACCCCCCTGTTACCGCAGCTTCACTGGCTGCCAGTTTGTTTCCAGGCACAATTCAAGGTGCTGGTTATGACCTTTAAAGCCCTAGATGGTTCCGGTTCAGGCTATTTGGCTGACCACATCCCCTTGTATGAACCTTCTTGGGCCCTGAGATCTGAGATCTTCAGGAGAGGCCCTTTCTTGGTCCCACCCTCCATCTCAAGCTCAGTTGGTGGGAATAAGAGGGCTTTCCTTCTCGGGGGGGGGGGGGTTCCTTCTCGGAGGCTGGCCCTCGACTCTAGAACCACCTGCCCAGAATGACCTCCTCCCTGTTGTCTTTCTGATGGCAGTCTAAGACCTTTTTACTCAGGCAGGCTTTTGAAGAAAAAGGTTTTTAAGATCATGTCAGGGGCTGTTGTGGCTTTTTAAAATGTTTTTTTTGGATTTAATCTGAATTGTTTTAATACTAATTATTTTAATACTGTTTTAATATTTGTATGTTTTAAATAGTATTGCAATGTTTCTAATGATAGGTCTCTCTAAGTCTTCTTATGGAGAGAAAAGGTAGTTTATAAATAAACATAACAACAACATCATCAGATTGGGGTAGCTAGCTAGCAAGCATGTAGCCAAGACATTCTAGTCATATTGTAACAGACTGTATTTAAATATAACTGGTGGTGGGAGGGGGGAGTTTCCATCCCCTTTATCTTTTTTATCTTTGTTAGTTAGCATATAGTTTTTTAAAAGACTGCAAACTTTCAGACTAGGTTTCTTGATTGTCCTTTTAGTAGAATTGAGACTCCTCAATTCTAATTATAATATAACAGTGTAATGCTAATTATAGTGTCACCCTTATAAGACATTTCAAGGGGTTTTGTATTTTTATCTTCTCTCTGCCACATATTTATATTAGTAGCAAAAAGGAAAAAGAAGAATAATAGCAATAGCTATCAAGTCACTTGTTCACTTAACCCTCTTTCTTTCCAAGAAAAAAACCCAAGATGACCCCTCCATCCATTTCTAAGTCCTCTACTCATGTCCAATTTCAGCCATTTTGGATATTCTGAATTTATAAATAAGAAATAAAATCCAAAAGTGTAGCCATATATTCAAAGCTTTGGAACCTCTATTTGTGTAGGTGTTCATGACTTCTTCAAATATATAAACATGTCTAAGATGATGATAAGCAAATAATCTTTTTTTCTATTCTTTTGGGGGGGGGGGTGATGGGCATATCAGACCTGTCTTTTGACTTTGAGAATGTTTCCCTCCAGTTCAGATGGAATCATTTTTCCTCTGTTAAGATAAGAAGTAAAGAAAAGAAATGGTTGTTAAATATCACTAACACCTCTTGTTTCCATCCATCCATCTATCCCTCTATCCCTCTATCCCTCTATCCCTCTATCCCTCTATCCCTCTATCCTCTATCCCTCTATCCCTCTATCCCTCTATCCCTCTATCCCTCTATCCCTCTATCCCTCTATCCCTCTATCCCTCTATCCCTCTATCCCTCTATCCCTCTATCCCTCTATCTATCTATCTATCTATCTATCTATCTATCTATCTATCTATCTATCTATCTATCTATAAATCCATAACAAAACAAAATAAGAATCCATTCTTTTCTGCAAACAAAATAGATTTTCATGCCAGAAATCATCCAAAGGCATGGAAAAGCTGTTGTTTAATTTACAATTCCCAGAATCCCTCAATTAGTAAGCTCCGGGCAACTCAGAAAACACAAATGCTATCTGGGTGAGTTCTACCAACATTAGTATCATATTGAGGTGAGCTTGCATGACATTATTAGCAATAAATCTTCAAAATAAATCTTCAAGAATGCAATCCTGCAGTCTACGCATTTTCTAGACAGTTATACATCTACTGGAGTATCTTCTGTACTTGATCTGCTCCTCTTGTGAACCCTAATTTTTCAGGGTTTTAAATCACATGTGGCCTTTGTGGCCAGAGAAGTCATTTTGCTGCTGAGTGGAAGGCTATGAAAATTGGCAATGAAGTAAATGTAATCATTTCCAGTTTGTTTCTCAGTCATCTATAATCATAATGCGTCTGCTCAAGACTTTCCTTCTTTTTAGCAAGAGTAACTGTATGCCCACTTTGAAGAAATCAATAAGATTATTTGGGCCTCAGTCCTATTGGTAATCTCAACCGGAGTAGACCTCATTGACTCAATGAGATTTACATAACTTTCAGGATTGTTGTTATGGACTTCAAGTTGTTTCTGAATGATGGTATTCCTAGGACCATTGTATCATGAGAAATGTTTAGCAAGATTTATCCAAAGGAAGTTCCCCTTTGTTTTCCTCTGAGCTGGATGGATTCTTGTACCATTAAATCTGTTGCCTATGGCTGATTTTTGTGCATTTAGATAACTGACTAGTTGGACTGACAAGCAAATAAACTGATTGAACTAGTTCACATCTTTACTGCAGAAGAGAACACAATCACTTTTTGTGGGCAATTGGTGTGGCAGAAGGTGAAAATATCAAAAGAAAGAAAAATGTCATACAGATCTCAGAAAAAAATATCTGATGAATCTCCCATCATTATTGGGCATGCCTGCTGGAGCATTCATGGAATTGTGTTCCAAGAATTAACTTTTCCAAGTTCTAATATGCACATATTAAGTTAATGTGGGGGCTCACCTTTCATCACACTTGATGGCAATCACATTATCCATTCCGATACCAAGAACAGCAGCAGCTTTCTTTACAGAATAATGACTCTTTAGGTATTTAAAGATGGAAAGGTTAGAAAATATCACAACATGCATACAAATCCATATAATAGCAGTCTTGAAAAAATCTAAAGAAAGAAGGCATTTGGCTCTGTTGGCACTATAATTCAATCAAAATATTGCAATTCTTTACTCAATTTACATGGAAGCAAGGCCCATATTTTCCTTCAAGAAAGTACATCATAGTTTGAAATAAACTTAAAACTAGAAAAAACAAAATGAATGCACATAAAATTAAACAAGAAATAAATATGCCAGTTGTAATTATAACTCTTAGTAAAGTTTTCTTAAACTCATGCCCTCTAAATATTATGTGTGCCAGGAGGGTGAATATCAAGGGATTACAGGATTGTAATCGAAAATCTGGAGGGCCCCAAGTTAGCAAAGGACTTCTTCACACGTGCTATTGGAATCATTGTGGTTTGCCATGGATCACCCCATGCCCTGCTCCATCCCAGCTTTCCTCCTGCCTTATCTCATGAGGGGAAGCCTCATTGAACTGGCTCGACCCATCTTTTGTAATGGAAAGACAGGGAGTCTCCCGCTGGCAATTTTGCAGCAGTGGCAGTGTGTTTGTGGCAGTTCATCCACTGAGCCAACCTGGAAGTACTTTTCTGGGGAGAGATGGGAATCATCGGGCTACATGACTGAAGTAGAAAAGCCCTCTTGCTGCTGCCAAATTTTGGACTGTGTGAAGAGGTTCCTAGATTATATTATTGCATCATGAATATGCTTCTGAGATAGCTATTATAAAACAGCCCAAGAGGAAGTTCATTCTTTACTAAAAGATTGAATATGGAAGTTCTGTACCATGTCTGCATGTATACTAATATGTGAGAAGAATATAGGCAGCATTTTTCTTTAAAACTAAGTGAGATATTTGGATAGGCATATTTAAATACTGCTTTATTAAATTTTGTTTTTTAGGATCAAGTTGTAAGTGTTATGATCAAATAGGTCGAGATGGAATTTTGAGTCAGATCTAGGACCCTTTCACACTACACAGTTATAATACTATGTTTCTACTTTCTACATGAACCATGACTCTATCTTATGGAAGTCTGAGATTTGTATTTTAGGGATGTGTGCTTAAAAGTCTCAGCCATGGAGCTCTAGTGCTTCACACAAGCATAAAGCCCAGAATCCCATCGGAAGTAGAGATGGTCATTAAAGGGGAATCATCATACTATCATTGTGCAATATGAAATGGCATGTGTTGATTCATGTCATGGTGATAAATATTTAGAAAACTGAATATTTAGAAAACTGAATAAGATTTTCTGCCTTGAAGCAAAAGTTAAATAAGTAATGTATATGTGTCTTACAATGACAGCAGGTTGCTAGATTAGGTTTTATTTTGTCAAACCTTACGTTGTAAAGTTGACATGGGACATTAACCATGGGCCATTAATTAAAGTCAGTTGGGCACTATGATAAGCATCTGTTAAATCAATAGAGCCAAAGCAGTGTAAAAACAAAACTAATATACCATCAGGATGAAAAGGACATGAGTAATAATAGTACATAAAGCGAGATGGGTGGAAAATCACACAATTTGTATTGCTGCACAGAATTTGACTTGACAATAGAAAATGAAGGAATGTTCAAATATCTTCAAAACAACATCTTTCTTTAATGTTCTGGACAGTTGAGAGTCCTGAACTGATGGAAATCTTATCTGTTCTGTACACAAAATCTAAACATAGTTTGGAAGCGGGGGGGGGGGGGGGGGGAGAGAAAATAGTATTTTCTGCATTTAGACAGTATGACCTGTGCAGAAAATAGCATTTCTGCACACAAAATATTTCTAGACAGAAACATCTTGCAGTAAGAAGGAAACCCCTAAAATTACTCATTGCTAGCATTGAGAAGAAAATTTGTAAAGAATTGCCATCCCTATGTGCTTTTTGCCAGGGGCTAAATCACAGGAGGAGCCCACATGATAACTGATGCCACCAGCATGCATGCTGGAACAATGTTGGTAGCTTGTTGTAAACGAATACAGTGGGCACACACCATCATACTAGTGGGTGGTGGACTTGAGCCATGAACTCAGATTCCCTTATGGAGTTTACTCAGCTAGGGGTGTGATGTAAAACCCAAAAGTACTTGCCACTGTTTTTTTTCTCTTTCTTTCTTTTTGGCAGAAAACAGCCACTAGGATTCCCATCCTGGCTGGCAGGCAAGGGGATCTGATAGATGTGAGCACCAAAAAATAACTTTTCCAAGGAATAATTCCAAACACAAGAAAATTTTCTTATTCATCCAAATAATTGATTGGCTGATATCAAAATATTGAGCAGTAAAACAAGTGAGAGAAACAGGGAAATCAGTCATAGTAATAACTTGTCTAGATCATTCCTCATTGTAAAGTATCAGGGACAAATAATTTACACAAACCTTATTACAACATGTATACTCACATGTTCAGAAACAAATAGTACAATGTCTGGAAGGGCTGCCATGCCTTTGGTTTTAATCTCAGGGTAACGTTTATAGCGGGCAACTAAAACACTGTAGAGGTTTGATATGCTCCCTCCTGGAAGACAAAGAATTTATATTGAATTTTATCAGAATGGTCTTGTTGAGATGACTATACTTCAGTGTAGTAGCCACTATTTTTAGAAAACAATTTTTTTCTTTAAATATTTGTGTCTCTCCAAGTAATTTTCTATTTATGGCCCTAAGGTGAACCTACCACAAAGGTCCCTTGGTAATATTTGTTAAAGTGGGTTTTCCTTTCTCTTTCTCTGGAACTGATAGAATGTGACTTACTAAACTCTCCCCATGAGTTTCATGCACTGGTCTTCAAAGTCATAGTCTAGTATTCAAACCGCTACACAATACAGGCCTTCTCTTAAAATACTCTTTTCTTTTTAATTTTTGTTTTGATTTGACAGTCTGGATTAATGCACCTATTCAGTGTCTTTACTTCTTTTTCCAGTATATGGAGCATACTCCTATTCTTATTTTGTAACAGTACCTATCTTCAAGGACAAGATTTAAAATGGCAGCTACTTGCACATATTGCTTCCATAGTTTGAATAAAGAATAAAAATAATAGGTTTGCCTACCAGGGGAAAATATGCCATCTGCTTCACTTTCATCCCATCCAATAATTTCATGCATTTTCTTCAGAAGGATCTCCTCCATTACAATGAACACTGGAGCTATTTCATATGTAAACCTAACACAACCAACATGTCATAGTTAGAAAACAAAAACACAAGGAATTCACCAAAAGTACCTGTCAAAGGAATACATAAACAATACTAATTTTCATTTCATTCAAACAAAGAAGGTCTTTATAGTGTATTCACACTTCACAATTATAGAAATTATTTCTATATTGTTCTCAGAGTCCTGTTATTATAATCCCATTGACCATTTCCACCCTGATTATTTGGTAGATGATCTGAAATATTGGATTAAATGTAATATTAATGGATGTTTTTCATATATTATTGTTGAGTCATTTGTAAATTGGATGTTTGTAAGTCAGGGACTACCTGTATAAAAAATGTTGCAAAGGGTTTAATGAGTTATCAAGCTTAATAACTCTAAAAACATAAATGGAGACTATCTCATTAGGCCTTATGTTGCTGAGTCAACATTTTGTGAATTACGGAGGCTAGAAGCTTTAGTAACGGAGGGAGGTATGTAGTGGTAAGGGTTTCATTTATAGGCAGTTCATGGTTGCAGAGATGTAGCAATTTCAAATTGGGTTCATCTTTTTTAAACACCTTGTATTATTATTATTATAAGAAGCTGACTAAATCATACTGAGGCCATGCATATTTATCCATTTTTAAAATATATACCTTCCTCACATATACAGATCTAGAAATTTCAATAATCTACCTCCACAGACCTTATCCACAGATATGTAAGAACTGTATCTGAATTTTCATTTACAATAACTCTATTCCCATCTCTTTAGTAGAGTACATACAGTTCTCAAATTATGAACACGATAGGTTCTGTAAATTTGTTCTTAAGTTGAATTTGTATGTACGTTGGAACAAGTACATTTTTAAGCGTGATAACTCTTACAAGCGTGGATTTCACTTCTTATCTCAACCCCATTGTTTGTAAATTGGATGTTTGGGAGAGAAATGGCAATGGTAAGCAAGGACAGTTGGCCTCTGAGAAAGCATTGGCATTTTCCCCTCTTCATGTAATGACCCTCGATACAAATTTTGTCCCCCAAACCTGCCCTTGACTTGGACAAGTACATACAGTAAATGTGATTGTGAATGGTAAAGAAGGGACATTTTCAGGATTGTTTTTGTGATCTGAACAGAGCTTTCTACAAACCTAGTCATGATTTCAAAAAAGTCATTAAAATTTACAGAATTTAAAGTTAGTCAATGGGTCAGCCCCAGCGGTGTGAACTGTGTGGCTTCCCAAATGTTGTTAAATGTCAGGTACCAATTGTCCTAGGCAGTGTAGACCCTCGTCAACATCTGGAAGACTGAATTATTTTCACACGTTGTACTCTAAAAATGACTATATTGAATCCAACTCAAGAGTTGGGGGAAAGCATTAATTTCACTCAGACTGTGTTAACACTTAAAATCAAACATGAAAACAATCACCACTAGGGATATTTCTGAGAAATGCAAACGCAACAAGGGCTAGTTCTGATCAACTGGTTAATGGTACTATTTTATTTGACTATAGTTTTCAAATAATAGTTAATGGCAGCTTTGCGTATAAGGTTTTATATTGTCAGTGGAGACTCATATAATGCAGTTTAAAAGCATTGAATTGCATTATATGGCAGTGTAGATGGAACCAGAGCCTTGCCTTCAATTTACTATGATTTTAAACCAGGATTCCTTACATTTATTCCTAAAAGCTTAGACACTGGACCAAGCTATATAGAAATGTGGTGGCTTTACTTCTAAGTAAAATCATTTTGAGATGTGAAACTAATTACTATTAAACTGTTTCGGGGAATAAGTATAGTATTCTAGCATTGCATGTACAATGACGTAAGAGGAAATGACTAAATATTACCAAACAGGATGGAAAGAATATTCAAAATTAAATGAAATAATATGTTATTTCCGATTGCAGGGACATATAGACATGCAAAGATCTGTATATTTGGCTAAAAAACATGATATTCCCACACCTGGAAATCTCCCATTTTTTGCCTATTGTTGTGATTACTTCTGGGTTTACAGAGAACGGCATTTGGCCAACCTCCTGATTGCTGTGGGAGCTCCAGGGATAAAGGTACTGTCTGGATTGCCCCTCTCTGTGAATCCAAAAGCGACAATAAGACTGAGAAAGTAAGCTGTTGTTGAACACTGAGTAGAAAAATGCAGTGCTTTATAATACTTTCCAGCTTTGTAGAAGGTCTGGCCAAGACAATTCCTAAAGTTTTGTGCTAAACGGTAAACAAAACAATTACACGGTAAATGTATAATAGATTCAAGACCAGAGGCTAAGCAATTGAATTTTCCTTTGATCAAAATCCCCTTTTGATCATACTGCACCTTTCCCCTGTGTTTTTGTACTTTCATCTTTCATCTTTTCCTACTGTCATCAAATTGTAGAGTCAGAAGGGACCTCACCTTCATCTGGGTCATTGATAAAACGTTTGAAGAGCATAGGGCCTAGGAATGAAATCTTCAAGATATCCCTCTGGGAGGGTACTACAGCTTTAACTAACACTACAGCTTGAAAGTTAAAATGGAAGTGGGCCCATCAATTGCAGAGTTGTCCAACCCATCCTTTGACCTATCGTGTTAAAAAGATGTCATGGGACATTGGGTCAAACATTTTGCTGAAATCAAGAAAAAGTTAGTCACAATATTGGTTGGTCTAGCACGATTTATTCCAGCATATGATTGAAAAGACTAATACAGTAGTGAGGATTTTGTAGTTTTGGCCTATACTTCATAGATCCTGATGCAATTTTGGAACTTATTCTATGCAGAAATACCTCTGTGTATGTGTGTAAATATTTTGTTCATATTTTTCACATTAAAAGTATTATGGTTCCAGAGAGCCAGGATTCTTTTGTGCATTTTTTTCTTGCAAACATCCAGCAAACATGCACACACAAAAGTCCCCCAAAACATGTGACTATCTTGAAATGTTTTTTTGAAATCAAAACCTATTATTTGACATAAAATCATTATTACCTTTTTTTTGTCAAGAAACGTTGTCTATATTTCTGCTCAAAATAATTTCCCCAAACATTTCAGGATGTAGTAATACAGATAAGATTGGTTTGCAAATATTTGCTGCCTCCTACAGCATAGAGAAAACTAAGGATTTTGTTTTCCTTTTTTCCTTGCAGTTCCTCAAGTCAGGAGTGACTTGTCATGGGGCATTTTAAAGGGAAAATGTGTTCCATTGATATTTATTGTGTAGCACAGACTGTCTCCTTAATCCTACAGTCACAATCTTCCACCGTATTACCCAGTGCCCCTTTTTTCCTTCATCTTAGAATTATATAATTATAGAGTTGGAAGAGACTTCATGGGTCATCCAGTCCAGCCCCCTGCCAAGAAGCACGACAGGCTTGTTCTTCAGACCCTTGATCATTTCAGTCGCCCTCCTCTGGAGGCATTCCAGCTTGTCAATATTTCTCTTCTTGATAATCCCCCTATTTATGTTAGCCAAATCAATTCTTCTCTTTCTCAACCATTTTTAAACAATTCTGGATATATTTAAGAGTGCAGAGGCCTGCCTTGTAAACTTTCTCTTCCAGGGAAGCAGCAGGTTTGCACTTGCTGTAGATATAGTTCCTGTTGTCCTCAGGCAGGAATGTGGCATATACCCTGCAAGCATCTCTCTGTCTTTTATAAAGAAATGTGATTGTGCCCTATTGAACTCAGGAAGAGCTCCACTAATAATTGGGAAATGTGAAAAAGACTCTCTTTAGCAATTCTTGCTACTCCTGCTGAACTGTTGCCATCTGTAGTGATTCATGCTTTAGCTTTGAAGTTACCTTGATCTTCAAAAGTAGTATGCTTTGCAATTCTGGGTGGCGGTGAGGCTGATTGTGAAAAAGAATTTCAAGACCTTCTGGGCATGCTGAATTAATTGCACAGCTCTTTGAATCTTTGGAGTCTGCCTAGAAAGCTCTCAAGACTTATTCTGGAATGTAAAATCCAAATGCTATCATTCATAGTGATCTGTTTTGACACCTCTTGGAGCTATATCTGAGCTTTGAATTGTTACTTTTGGAGATTGTAGGAGTTGTAGTCCCAAAAATTAACTTTTGCAAACAATGTGTGTGAGTCCCTTCAATGGTTCCTAGATTACAAAGTGGTATTTCAGAAAGGGCCTTTTGAGTGGAGCTTCTGTTATGTTTAGTTTTAGAAAGACACCTTCTCTATATCTGTTCAATAAGTCCAACTTCTATTTATTTATTTATTTATTTCTGGTATTTCTATCCCGTTCCTTCTCAACTCAGGACAGCTTACATTTGACAGCAATTCGATGCCACTACATATAACACAGCAATATAATAACAATTAAAACAATAAGTAAAACAATCATTAAAACAGTAAAAAACAGTATTCATAGCCATAACATCATTCCAGTCAATTCCATATCCAGTTCTCCAAGCTGAGCTTCCCTTATCCAGAATTCTGAAATCCAGAATAATTCAAAATATTTATTTAGTTATCTACTGTACTTATAACGCACCCTTCTCTCTCCCGAAAGGAGACTCAGGGCAACTTACAAACTATGGCAATAATTCAATGCCAGATTCAGACAATAATGCTATCAGTAAAGCACAATATTTTAAAACTGTAAAAAAATACACATGTACATTAATTTGGCTTTTAAGCTTGATTGTCCTGCTCTCTAACTGTCTATCTACCTGACTGCTTGTATTAGCCCTCTGTTCACTTTATAGGTGACTCCTCATCTTTCTACCATACTCAGATATTTTATTTTTATGTCAGTCTGCTCCATATGTAGATTTGGCCTTATTGACAAAGCCTATTCATTTAATAATAAGAAACTGGCCAGTTTTTTAAAAAAAAGAAAGAAAAGAGTTATCCAAAATCTATAATGAAACCTGATAATTAAGTTGAGTATAATCTCTTTTCATGTTCCCTGCTCTATTTGCTGTGTTTTCAACTGTCTTTACAGGAGGGAAACAAAGTCAGTAATGCTATGCATTTCTACTTTCTTTATATTGCCAGAAGGGAAGCAAAATCAACAGTAAGATAACACCCAAGATATCCTATATAAGAGCTACATAGCATAAATAACCACTAACAACTTAACACTATACTTCCATTACTTAACCGCTATGCTAGATAGTAACATAGTGCAACAAATGGTCATTGAAAGCCAATATGTACAGCTGTCCGCATGCATTGCAATGCATCTTTGCATACTAGTCTCCGAATGTGGTTTTGTTTGACACAGAATGGCATTTGACAAAGTTTTTCCAATACAGCTTTGTTGCTCTTGTGTAAATTCAAAATAATGCTAAAATTACATTACATACATGTTTGTATTTGCTGTAGCTGTCAGCCATTCTCCAGCCAGTCCTATAATATCAAGGCCACTCGAAAGCTGATTGAAATAACGTGGATGTCCTTGAAAACATAGATGAGTTAAAATAGATAAATATTTTGAAAGACATATTAGAAATGCATCACATTACAGCAGAAGTGATTAATTGTAAATCATTAATTACATAGGACAATGAACAGAGGTTAATGTACAACCTAAAGGCTATTATGGTGGCTTATATGTGAATTGTATGACAAATTAACTTTATGGTTTAGCCAAATTTTAAAAGTGCTGAATCAGTTTTGAGGATTGATTTCAATATCTTCTAAAGTTCCAAATAAGACAAAAATACACTGGATAAAGCTACAGCTGTGGAAGAAGCAAGCAAGTATATCCTTATTCTGGGAACAGAAAGGACAGTAGTGTACAAGTATCTTTCCAAGAAAATGACTAAGCATTAGGGCTGGGCGGTTTCGTTTCGTTTTCGTTAATTCGTAATTCGTTAATAATTCGTTAATTTTTCCAATTACAAAACGATAACGAACCATTCTGGAGCAATTTAAAAAAAACGAATTTTTTAACACGTTTTGTAAATGCTTCGTATTTCGTTATTGTATTCGTTTCGTTATTGTTCTGAGGTCGTTTCGTTATTATTTCCGCATGTCTGGGGCAAGTTTTTTGTTTAATTAGTGAAAAAAAATTATAATATCACACCAACAGTCAACAACAGAGGGAGAGGGAAGCTTCAGAAGTTTTTGGAGGTTTTTTAGCGTATTTCGCTGTCGCGTCCGCCATTAACGAATCGATTCGTTATTGTTTCGGAAATCGATTCGTTAATGTTTTGTAATTTTTTTCGCATTTACGAAATTTCGTAAATATCAAACTTTTAAAAAGGAAAATTTGTAATTATTTTAAATAACGAAACGCAAAAAACCCCAAAAAACGAATCGATTTTAGAAACAAATTTTTCCATTGTTACCCAGGCCTACTAAGCATTACTAGTAGCCCCTAATGACCTTATTGCTCATGTCTAGATGTGGATGTAGAATGTCATGATTCATATATTTTAAGATGAACTTTGGAGAATTTACAACTCCATTCATGAATTTGACATTAAGAACTTCCACTTAAATTTCTTCTTCTAACTGAAACACACCCATGCAAACATTTGTTAAATAGTATGTTGAAGTATCCAATGGGGCTATACTACTTGATATTTGTATTGAAATATGCATTCATTTTATCCAAAGCCTTTATATACTGTCTGTTTCCAGGTCTCAAAATAACTCACAAAGTTAAAACAGGTATAGATTTTAATACATATAACCAAAACAAGTTGTTTTTTAAAATATAAAAAATGGATAACAATAACAATTACTTGAAATATACCCCATGAAAAAAATTAAAAATCCTCTTACCTGTTTTGACTCCATATTTCAAGGTATCCCTGCAGTCAACAAGTATTTGTTCCAAAGGTTGCGGTTGATCAGAAAGTTCCACACTGAAGCCTTCTAGCCCTTCCAGAAGTTGATGTGGGTGATGGAAATCCAACACTTTACTTTTTCTGTCATAGGTCTTCTTGATGTAACTCAAGAGAATATCCACCATTTCATGAAGGAAATGTCCAGTAAATTCCTCTCCATTCCGTGAAGGCAGAAGATCTAATGGGGAAAAGAATCAGGCAAGCTATATTTAACAAATTTAGGATTCAGGAAAAATCATGAAGGTGAAAGTGTTTTCATAAAAGCCTGACATGCTTTTGGAAATCACTTTGAGTCCCACACTGGGAGTTTGCAAGCAGATTCCACTTGGCCTTTAGAATCTATAACAGAATGGGAAAACATCATAGACAAATCATTTATTCATTTTAGTTTTATACATTACCTTTGAAATGACAAATTGTCTGAAGTAGAACTCCAGGTATACCACATGACAGAAGGAGAGCAACGGAGGAAGCTCCAAAATTTGTGAACAGCCACCGAGAAGCCTTTTTCTCTTGCTTCCACCCAATATATATACCTAAAAATGTGGTGGGTCTGTGACAAGGGCCTCATAAATAACAAAGTGGTTGGGATCCACTGCACAATTCACAAAGTTTTGAACAATAAAAAGAAAAGCAAGTATTTTACGATGCCATCCAACCAAAGTTAAACATTTCTAAATCCCTTTGGTTTCAACAAGAGAAGCAATCTCAGTTCATGCTTGAACTGGAATCCCATGGGGATAAAAAAAAACTGCACACCTTCAACAGAACTGACAGTATGAACTTTAAATAGGGTGAACAACATGCATTTTGTAGGCTTGTTTCCACCAAAAGCTGTTTTTGCAGATCTTATAGCCCTGACCATCATTCTGTCAACTGTCACTTCTGAAGGATGCACACATTTGTCTTAAAGGACAATTGCCAGCATTTTAAAGACTACTAGAACTATGGTTCACCTTCAAATCAAGTAGTGTATCCTCTGCATGCTTTGGGTTTTTTTTTTTAAAAAAAGAGTTTGTTTGTGGAGCTTCTGAAGTTACTATAGTGTATAACATGCGCCAGAAGAGGACATTGTCACTCTTAACAAACAGCAAAATTAAAAGATAGTAAATGCACATGCTACCCAAAAATATCTATGAAATAATAAGAGGGGAAAACAGTAAAAACCAGGGGGAACCATTTTCTTTAGCATTGCATTTCATGCCTTTCCTTTAACAACTGGATAATTGCTGTCTCCCTCATCAAACTTATTACTCCTACTGTTTTAACAGCAATCGCAATTCGATAAAATACAACTTATTTATTTATTTATTTGGTAGTTTTGTATACCGGTCTTCTTACCTCCATTCGAGGGACTCGGGCCAGTTTCCAACATCAATATTACAGACCGTCATTATGAATCAAATCAAATCACTTATTTCGGTCATTGACCAGCACAGAAAATAGTTACATTTTCATACAAACTTGTTATGTTTGGTACATTAAAAATATAAATATAACAACTGAAGCACAATATGGATGAGGGAGCAGAAGGGAAGGGGAAACAGGGTAAAAACAGACCGTCATTAAAACATCATATTTCTAAATCACACAAAAACATTAATACATTGAAACAATTAAAATGGCAAAAATACAATCATATGTGGTCAGTCGTCATCAAAGTCATTATTCATCGTCATCCATCCATATCACAGGATCATGGCTCATTTGTTGAATGCCAATCCCCAAAGCCAGGTTTTCACCTGTTTCCTGAACATTAAGATCAAAGGGGCAGTTCTGATCTCCAGTGGAAGGGAGTTCCAGAGTCGAGGGGCCACCACCAAGAAGGCCCTGTCTCTCGTCCCCACCAGCCGCACCTGTGAGGCCGGTGGGATCGAGAGCAGGGCCCCTCCAGACGATCTTAGTAATCTTGATGGCTCATAGGGGAGGATACGTTCAGACTTAGACATCTAACACATGTCATCATACTCAAGTACCTGCCTTTTTCCGCTTCCAAGTGAATTGAGAAATCTGGAGTCAATAGTTACCTGATTTTTAAAATGCCCATTTCTAGACAGTTTAAAATTGGAGTCCCATAGGCAATCCCCGGAAGTAGTCTTATGACATTCGATGGCCTTAGTGGGGCTCCATTTTTAAAGGGTCTAGAAACAGGGGGAAGCCTGGAAGGGATAAAATCATAAGTGGTGCTTTACATCTCACTGATATTAGCAGAATTTTGTTCTGAGAAAATCCTCTTCCATATACCTTTGCATTTGTACACAGAGAAAAAGAGGTATGTAGGCATACATTATATAAATTGATATTCCAGACTACCAAGAACCTTACCTGACGCATAGATATTTGAAAAATTTGTCACAAAGCTCTCAATGGTAGAATCTTTCTCTTTCTCCTCACATTCTCCTTGGAAATTAGGAAGATGCTTTTGTCTCCACTGGTGACTTTTGGTATGAACATGTTCATCTGGGAAAGCAATATGAATGCTATAATTTTAAAAGTATACATATGACAGATAGATATATTAAATAGTCAACTGGTTCACAGCTGTAAATCAGCTTGGTTACACCACTAAAGTCTGCATTGCTGCATGTTGGAATAGGAAATATATAAAGCTGTTGTTTGGGCAGAAAAAAATGTAAGTTTGAAAATCTGACATAAAGGAGATAATTCTTTTTAATTCTTTGCATCCCTAAGATTTACCAAACTAGACTGTTGTTATATTGTGTAATGTATAGTTATAGAGTATGCTCTGATTCCTCCATGTAAATTCTCATAAGCTTGAACTGCTTAGTTTTCTCTCTTCGTTTTGTTTCCATTATCTAACTCTGGACTTTGTTCTCAACTGGCATACAAACATTTCCTGCCTTTGGTTTTTCACAATAAATACTTGAAAGATAGACTCATATGCACTTAATGTGGGTATTCAGTTCACATAGGAGATGATAATCCTATGAATAGAGGGTGTGGATCTGCTATGACTTTTTAAAAACATTTGGGACTTTTGTGAAAAATTCACTTATGCAATACAAATTCTATTTAAAAAGAAAAAAAGAATGCAAAGTTTTTCTGAAAATTATTTTTAACAACCCCCCCCCCTTTATATGGAAAAGCATTCTAAAATATGGGGAAATTCTTGTAATTTTAACTATGGGGAGAAAACTTAGGTAATTCTTGAGTGTAAGAATGAAATAAGTGAAGGAGGATTTGTGGATACTACCTCATCCTAATATTCAGCTCTACTGATACCCACAAATTTCAGTGAACTGTCTGAGATTGTAATTCTATGGGAACCATGCATAAATTTCTACATTACATGGGAAATATACAAGGTAGGCCTAAATTCCATATATCAAAAGAAAAATATCAGATTTCCCAATGTTTGCAATTTTGGGAAGGGTGATTTTTGTACACAAAGTGTAAACAAAGTGACATTTTTCCCCATTTCAGATTTTCCTTAACATTGTGTGGATAAGCTATTTAAAGCAAACAGCCAACAACTGCATATTTAGAGCCGTTTGGGATAATTTGTAGAGGTGATGCAGATATTTGATTTGGATTGAGACCTTGTTAAGAGCTTGTTTATTTTACCTTATGTTGTACTGTATGTGTATGTGTTTGCCAAATGTTTTTGATACGACCAATAGGCTAATCAATAAAACGTACTCAAATTCATTGCTTCCTTGACACAGACGCCACCAGCTGCTATGGGTCTTATATTGCTATTATTTCTATTGTCCTTCTGTATGGAGTAGTTTCTGACAATCTTTCCACTTTTTGAAGGAATTTCTGCATTGTTAACAGTATTAAGCGGACTGGCAACAGCATTAAAATAAATGGTTACACAAAAAGAAGGTTTACACAATATGAATATAAATATTTAAATTGCCCCATGATAGCTAAACAAAGAAGTTCAATGAAAGCATTCTTTCATTGAAAAATAAGAGTGCCTTCTTTCTCACATGGCTTTGGGGCATTCAAACAAAAGACTAAATCCATTGCCCACACAGTTACCTGTTGCATGGCCTTGCCTTTCTTTTCTTTTTGTCCTGTGTGCCTTAAAAACATCAAGAGGAATTCCAGGAAGCCAGCTTAATTCTATTGAAAGCTTAGTTGAACAGCATAATACAGAGTAAATCTTTTTCTCTTTTGTGGCAGTTGTTCTCCCATTTTCTTTTCATGGGGAACAAAACCTGTTATGAAGTTTTCTTTTAAAAATATTACTAGTCCCTATTTACTTGCCTTCTCTCCAAGCCCTGTGAATAGCAGATTATTGAGCTAGGTGTGTTTAGCTCAAAGAAAAGAAAGTTGAGAGGGGACATGATAGCCATGTTTAAGTATTTGGAAAGCTGTCCCATTGAGGAGAGGGAAAGCTTGTTTTCTGTTCCTCTAGAGATTCGAACACTGAGCAAAGATTCAAATTACAAGAAACAGATTCTAGCTAAACATAAGAAAAACTTTCCTGATGGTGAGGACTCTTCGACAGTGAAATATGCTACCTTGAAGCATAGTGGAGTCTTCTCTGGATATTTTTAAGCAGGCTAGATCGCCATTTGTTGGGAATCCTTTCATTGGTTTTTTTTCCTACATGCCAGGGGTTAAATCGGATGTCCTTTTGGGGTCTCTTTCAGCTCTATAAATCTATGATTCTATCATTCCTCCCACTATAATAGACCTAGCAATTTTCTAGGCTTAGGAAAAATCATGCTCACTTCATCCCATCTGAGTTCAGTCCATTGTTTTGTTTAATGCCTTACCTCATTGATTCTTCCCACTCTCCTCATTCAGCCACTGATTTTCCACATCTAACTCAGGGTTCTAGATAGAGAACCAGTATAGTGTAGTGATTTGAACATTGTACTAGCACTCTGGGAGATCAGGGTTCAAATTACCATTCAGCCATGGAAACCTTGGGCAAGTTATACTCTTTCAGCCTCGGAGGAAAGCAAACACAACCCCCTCCCCAAATAAATCTTACCTAGAAAACCCTATAATAGGTTCCCCAGAAGGAATCTTTGTGTTGATTCCTAGAATTCCTTCAGCATGTTCATCCCAGTTTTCTTATCAGATTGCAAGACTTTTTCTTCATCCCACAAGTATCAGTATATCCCTATGTGAGTGAGTACATGTCCTCAAGATGCTTGTTGACTTATGGCAACCTCATGAATGTCAGAGGGTTTTTATTAGGCAAGGAATACTCAGAGGTGGTTTTGCCAGTTCCTTCCTTCGAAATATAGGTTATAACACCTGGCATCCATTGGTGGCAGGGGCGGCTCAACCCATTAGGCAAAGTAAGCATTTGCAGTATAGCTGATTTTGCCTAGGGGTGCTCTTGGGGGAAAATAGACCTTGACATATGTGAGTTATAGTTACTGGGATGTATAGTTCACCTACAATCAAAGAGCATTCTGAACTCCACCAATGATGGAATTGAACCAAATATGGCACCAAAACTCCCACGACGAACAGAAAATATATATCAGTGATTGGTTGGAGGGGGGCACCAAAATACTGTTTGCTTACTGTTGAAAATTACCTAGGGCCACCTCTGGTTGGTGGTTTCACATCCAAGTACTAATCAGGACTGATCCTGCTCTTGGTTTTTAAGATCACATTTGATCTCATGCCTTCAGGATATTTAGGCCTTGTATCTCTACGGATCTACTCATCATGATTAAAATGAACTTTAAAAAAAAAGCAGCAGCTTTGATTATGCAGACTTTTCCTACCTATCTTTCACTTATGCATCAAAACATAAACTAATGCATAGGGATGCTCATCCTACTTCCAAATGTTGCTATGCCCTAATTCTGAAATCCATGGGTTGAACAGAGCTCTGATCTTATAGGGTGCCTAAATGTGTACAATAGCATAAATGTGATAATACTTTTCTGGTGTTCTCCTCAGCATCCTAAATCTTCCCAAACTGAGATTTAGTGCCTGATTCCTGAGTTATACCAAGTCAGCAATCTTATCCTATATTCATCCTGTGCTTGTGACTAAATACATATTTTGTGGCTTCAGTTTCAGATTAAGCCTTCCTTCCCTTTTCTTCTAATTCTTTCCCATCAAGCCAGACAAAGACCTCAGGAGAACTAAAACGCTTCCTCATTGTTTTGTGAGACTGACAAAGATATCATTCTATTGTGGGTTTTAGAGTATTTAGAATGTTTGTTATCTTTGTTATTAATTCATCACAATGCATCTCAAAGGACAAAACAAAATAAAACATGAAAAGCCTGATATTTGCCTTGCTCCCTTTGATTTTTCCTTAAATGTTCTCTGTGGAGAAGAAACAATATTTACATATTTAATTACTTGATTTTACATACAGAAAGCAGGTGTCTCTAAACTTATTTGCATACAATTATCTGCATGTGCAAAATTGCACCTGCTTCAAATTGAAGGCTACATTATGTTTACCGATCCCCACTTATATCCAGGGTCTTGGGTTTTTATTTTATGACATATATTACAATTAGGATTTGTCATTAAACTATTTTGCACTGAAAATGCAAATGTATTTTTCATATTGCCCAGACACCGCTTTTGTGTGTGCACATGTGCTTTTATATTTCCTAATGGAAGCATGGGAATTGTTAAATGACTTTTTCACTTATGCAAAATGACACTGAAATAATTATAAAGATATCATCTTTTTACAAAGCCAACTCCTTTCAAATCTTTGCCAAAAACGTTCTAGTCACAGGCGGGCAAGAGAAACAGAAATAAGGAGTGTTTATTTACAATTGTATCCATTCAGCCTTCCTCACCCTTGGCAAAAAGTCCACAGAAGATTATGGATATTTCCTGGGTAAATAAAAGTGGCTGATTATAATACCAAGACATATGAAGTGCATGAGCTGGTCAGGATTTTTTTTCTTGCAGTGAAAAGTGGATACTTATTGGCAATAGTACATGGTTCATTTACATCAGGTCTAATCTTTCAGCTTCTCAGATATTATTGATTTGCTACTTCCCTAATTCCTCACCTTTGACCATACTGGCTAGGAATGCTGGTATCTGCAGTTCAACAATACTTGAAGCAGAGAGGGAAATAACATATATATATATATATATGCTCTGTGCGTAATGAGTACCCTAAAAGCAAAAGAACCAATGAACGAAATCACACCAAATTTGGCAACAAAACGTCTCACAACACACGGAGTGACCATCACTCAAAAATTATGATTTTGTCATTTGGGAGTTGTAGTTGCTGGGATTTATAGTTCACCTACAATCAAAGAGCATTTTGAACTCCCATGACCAACAGAAAATACTGGAAGGGTTTGGTGGGCATTGACCTTGAGTTTGGGAGTTGTAGTTCACCTACATCCAGAGAGCACTGTGGACTCAAACAACGACGGATCTGGACCAAACTTGGAACAAGCACTCAATATGCCCAGATATGAACACAGATGGAGTTTTGGGGGAAATAGACCTTGACATTTGGGAGTTGTAGTCCATCCAGTCCAACTCCCTTCACCAGAACAAGAAAACATAATCAAAGTCCCCCCAACAAAGAGCCATCCAGTCATAAATATAGATAGATATATATGATTCACACACACACAGATATAGTATCATAGATTTGAAAGGGACCCCTAAAGAAGGACTTTGATATGTTGCATGTTCGAGGGTGGGCAAACCAGACACTCTCCACATCAACACTGAGAAAAAAAACAGCAAGACATACTGTTTTACCCACAGACATAAAGAAATTACATATATTAGAAACCAACATTTTCCCATTACTTTATTTTCCAGATCAACAGACTGGGCCACAGCAATGCGTGGCAGGGGACAGCTAGTGTGTGTGTATTGCAATCCCCGTTTCCCATTACGAATGGGGTTCAACTGGTTACCCGCACCTGTCGGCGTAGGGTAGACATACGCTGACCCAGTCAGTGTAGTGTGCATGCAGCCCCAGACATCCTTTTTATTCTGAAAGCTATCAAGAAAAGAGCAGATTTCCTGAAAGAAGAACCAGGAAAATAAGACTGACTGTAAATAGGTCAGCTGCTGCCCTCACCTTTTTGCCTTGTTTTTTTTATGTTCTATTTTGAAATGGTCATATGTCTGGTCAAATAAATAAATTAATATATATCCAGCCAAACATGTTTCTTGAATGTCAAAGAGAAACCTGGGCAGACAAAATCTTCCCAGTTCAGTACTTAGTTCTACACGAAAGTTGCACACAGGTATAAAGAGGGAAGTTAGTCAAACTCGTTTAGTGTCATACAATGATGGCTTTGGGAATGCTGTGATTAGGTGGTGCTAGAGAGAGGGGCACCCAGAATTGAACATAACACTAAAGATAAGGTCTGACCAGTGCAAAATGTGAAACTATAGAAACTATGCTTCCATTAAAACAGGTGAAAATAGCATCCATCTTTTTTTTGCTGCAACATTTTACTGCTGGCTCATATTTGGCATATGATCAGAAACTGATCAAGTCTGATTTTCTCCCAACTGCAACTAATTCAAGCTACTCCCTTTGTCTACAACTAATAACCAGATGCCAAACTGGAATATTAATTTGGAATAGGAGTGGTAAGCCACCTTAGAGAAAAGCCCAGATAGGAAAGGTACCTGCTCATTTCATCATAACCATCAAGGTAACCTCTGGGTGTACCAGTTCTATTACCTTTTTCTTACTATAAGCTAACAGAATCAAAGGATTGGAAGGGATCACAAGGAGATCAGCTAGACAAACCTCATTTCGGCTCTCAAGTTCCATCAAGTCAGATGGAATTGCGCATTTAAGTATGTCATACAACCTGTTCACACACATTCCAGTTTTCTATCTGCGCCTGAACACATGACCAAAATACAATATCTAAACTCTTTCTAAAAGGACACAATTTTTATCTTTCTTTATATCCATACTATAATTTTGAGACAGACAGATCAAATGCAAGGGGTTACTACTTAACCATTTTTCCTTGCAGGAATAGAAAATAAGTGTGAGGCACTAGGTGCAATGACTGTGGTAATATCATATGATACCCTCAGTGAATTCAGTTCCAAAACATAAGCAACTATCATAATGATTCTTTCCAGTTGCCCTTAATCATCCATGGAGGAGAGTGTTATAGGATGTATGCTTTTGGTGGTACTTTTTAAAAAGACTAGATTAATTACATTAACACCTGGTGATTTTTGAATAAGTTTTTTGAGAGTATGAGAATTTATCTGTAAATAAGAGATGAATCTGTATTTCTTCTTCTCTTTGGCTAAAGACTGAAGGATTCTGATGTCAAAATTTCCTGAACTTTAGAGTTATTATTGCAACATTTCTTTTTCTTCTTTTTAACAGCATTTTTAATAACTAGTGACATTTGAAGACTTACTTGTTGTGTGGGTAACCATCTGGAAATCCATTTCTTTGCCTCTCTCAATAGCCATGCATGTAGAGGAACATCCACTGTAGAATAAGTCATCAACAACCTACACACAGAGACATCAGGCGTATTTGTTGTTAAACTGATGTGTTTTCTTACGGAGCACATCTTTTGTATTTGTTGAATGCTCAGTGCTTCTGGGTGTGTCACTTCCTTGTTAAATAAGTGGGGTGGAGACAAAACATTCTGATTTCTTTTGTGTGGGTGTTTCCTTTGAAAGTGATATTGTTGCTCTACAGTTACTGGGATTTTCTCACAGTTTGTTTATTCAGGCACAGTAAATTGTTGATTTTCAAGAGACAAAAGTGAGGAAATGGCATTTTGACATAGGAAACTGAACAGCTCCTTCCACACAGCTATATAAAATCCACACTGAACTAGATTATATGGCATGGATGAAGATCAGGGCGGCTCAACCCATTACACAGTATAGTTGATTTTGCCCAGGGGCGCTCTTGAGGCGCTCTTGGGGGAAAATAGACCTTGACATATGTGAGTTGTAGTTACGGGGATGTCTAGTTCTCCTACAATCAAAGAGCATTCTGACTCCACCAATGATGGAATTGAACCAAATATGGCACACAGAACTCCCACAACAAACAGAAATTATATATCAGTGATTGGTTGGGGGGGGGGGAGGCTGCCAAAATACTGTTTGCTTACCGTTGAAAATTACCTAGGGCCGCTTCTGCTAATAACCGAGTTCAAATAAGATATCGTGGTTTATCTGACTTGATATTCTTGGTTATATGGGCCTAAAATACTGCAGAGTACCGTTATTATTGTTCTTAAATTATAATCTTTATTGTAATCCCTACCTACATTCAGTATCACACTGTTCAGAGTCTTTTTCATTGTCACGTTAGCACTACTCTTTCCTTCACAATCAGTATTTTACATACTTGAAGAAAATTTAGCTGTGGCAAATAATGCCCAGTTATCAGATTGGCCCTATCATTAGGCAGACCGACACAACAACTTCATGTGGCAGAATATCTATTATAGGGAGTGGCAAAAAAAACAATAGCAAATGATCATCTGTGACAGAGAATGGCAAGAAAATGCTGATGTGCACGTGACATAGAATCTTGGGATTCTATGGGATCCAGCCATGGCAACTAAAGTAGTATCAGTATTTTATTATGAAATTCTACTAAAAACAATGGTCCAGGAACTATTGGCTAGCAATATGTGGCAAATTTCCAGAAAACAAACAATTTTAGCCAATGGGCAAAAATATGTCACTGGTCATAGACATAATGGGGAGAAAGTGTGGATTCTTCACATCAAATATTTTGGGAAGCCCTGGTATAATGTGGGACAGATCTAAAATTGACATGGCTGCTTTCCCCCTGGATTTTAGAGAATTGAGGACAAGATGAATTGCCAAATCACTCCAGTTCTATTACCTTTCATATTCTTGAAAGTGCTTCTCCTGTGAGCAATTGGCAAACATATATTAATCTTTTTGGGACATTTGACTGTTGTTCTAATGAAGAGAAATCAAATCTGATTTGCAGGATTCATTTACACAGTGAGTACAAAGCAACATCAGCATTGAATATAGCTCTTTAGAATTCCTTAGCTATTGGAAGAATTTATCCTGTGTTGGACTGTCAGCACTTGCATTTTATTCCTCAGTGGTTTTCCTAGGATGCAGCAATGTCTACCATAGATCTCCACCAGCAGCCCAGCACTGCTTCCTTCCTATCAAATGTGTTGCAATAAAGAAGTGACATCCACTTTCTTTACCACAAGCTTTTTCCTGCTAATCTATGAAGCAATGTTAGGAAGCTGATATGAGTCATATAGGCCTGGAAGAAAAAGATAGACATTATACTTTAGGTTAAATGAATTGTGGGGAATATATTAATTCCCAAATTAATATATTGGGAGATAGCTAATACTCCAGAAGACAAAAGCAGAATTCCAAACAATCTTAGCAAATTAGAGAGATGGGCCAAAACTAACAAAATGAAGTTCAACAGTGACAAATGCAAGATACTTCATTTAGGCAGAAAAAAATGAAATATAAAGATACAGAATGGGGGATGCCTAGCTTGATAGCAGTATATGTGAAAAAAGATCTTGGAGCCCTTGTGGACAACAAGTTAAACATGAGCCAACAATGTCATGTGGCAGCTCAAATATTCAATTGGATTTTGGCCTGCATACATAGGAGTATAGTGTCTAGATCCAGGGAAATCATGCTTCCTCTCTATTCTGCCATGGTCAGACCACGCTAGGAATACTATGCCCAATTCTGGACACAGCAATTTAAGGGAGATGTTGATAAGCTGGAAGGTGTCCAGAGTAGTGTGTCAAAAATGATCAAGGGTCTGGAGAACAAGCCCTATGAGGAGCAGCTTAAAGAGCTGGTCATGTTTAGTCTGCAGAGGAGAAGGCTGAGAGGAGACATGATTGCCATGTATAAATATGTGATGGGAAGTCATAGGGAGCAGGCTCGTTTTCTGCTGCCCTGGAGACTAGGATGCGGAACAATGGCTTCAAACTACAAGAAAGGAGATTCCACTTGAACATTAGGAAGAACTTCCTAACTGTGAGAGCTGTTCAGCAGTGGAACTCTTTGCCCTGGACTGCAGTGGAGGCTCCTTCTTTGGAGGCTTTTAAACAGAGACTGGATGGCCATCTGTTGGGAGGCCTTTGAATGTGATTTTCCTGTTTCTTGGCAGGGGGTTGGACTGGATGGCCCACAAGTTTCTTCAAACTCTATGACTCTAATTCCGATGGATAAACATTGTTCCGTTCTCTTCCCAGGTGTAGGTTTGTAGTGATTAAAAATGCCCACCACCATTAAAAGGGAAAAAAAACCCTGAAAACAGTTCAAGGAAAACTCTCTGTTCAGGAAAGCAGGCCATAGGGTGTCTAATTAATGGAGTTTGACACCACTTTAACACTCCTGGCTCAACCTGTGGAATCCTTGGAGTTGTAGTTTGGCAAAGTAGAGAAAGGCTAAAAATCATATAAAATTATATTTCCTATGATTCCATAGTTTTGAGGCATGGCAAATAATGTAGTATCAAACTGCATTAAGGCTATAAACACACCCATAGAGAGAGCATAGCTTACAACTGCTAGAATTTGTCAGCTAGCACAGGCATTCTTAGTCCAGTAACTTGTTCTCACTTTTTAAAGCCTGCCTGAATAAAAAGGATTTAGGCTGCTCCTGGAAGTAGAGCAAGGAGGGGGCCATTCTGACTTCCCTGGGCAGGGAGATCCACAGTTTAAGGGCAGCCACAGCCACTGAGAAAAATCCACTAGGTCTGCTGTCTTGTTCCCACAAACCAAGCTTGTGATGGACGTAGGACCAAGAAAAGGACGTCTCCTGAAGATCTCAGAGCCCATGAAGATTCGTACAAGGAGATGTGATCAGCCAAATAGCCTGGACCTGCACATTTAGGGCCTTAAAGTCATAACCAGGGGCGGCTCAACCCATTATAAGCATTTGCTTATAATGTAAGCATTTGCAGTATAGTTGATTTTGCCCAGGGGTGCTCTTGGGGGAAAATAGACCTTGACATATGCGAGTTGTAGTTACTGGGATGTATAGTTCACCTACAATCAAAGAGCATTCTGAACTCCACCAATGATGGAATTGAACCAAATATGGCACACAGAACTCCCACGACAAACAGAAAATATATATCAATGATTGGCTGGGGGGGGGGGGGGCGCCAAAATACTGTTTGCTTACCGTTGAAAATTACCTAGGGCCCCTCTGGTCATAACCAGCACTTTGAATTGTGCCTGGAAACAATCTGGTAGCTAGTGGAGCTGCTGCAACAAGGGGGTTGTCTGCTCTGCAGCCAGCCCCGGTTAGCAAGTTGGCCACAGCTCTTTGGACAGGTGAAGTTTCTGAGCACCCTTCAGAGGCAGCCCTACATACAGCATATTACAGTAATCCAGATGGAATATAACTAAGGTATGTATCGCCATGGGCAGATTTGTCTTCTCATATATAGAATAATGTATCTTGTGTATTAAAATGTGATCCAAACATCTCTTGGTAAACCATGTGACTGATGTAAACCATACTTTATATATTTTTTAAAAAAATAAAGAAAGGCTTGATCTTTATTTGAATTATGAGAGCTGATTATTAAACCAGCCTTTTGGTAACAAAAATGGCTGTGGTATTGTTTCTTTTCTTATTCTCTTTATTGATAGAATTCTAATGTTAAAAGATCTGTGGCTAATTCTTGGCTGATGGCTCCCATTCTTTCAGTGAAACAAAAGCTCACATGGTTGCTCAGCTGGGAAATGTATGAAGATCTTTGATCAAAACATGGCCAATGATCCAAGAAATAAAAGGAACAGCTATAAAGGCACATAAAATTACATGAAAAGCATTTTAAATATATGAAAGGAAGGTTCAAGAAATCATGACCCCCTCTGAGGTCCCTCTCACACAGCTGAATAAAATCCCACATCATTTGCTTTGAACTAGAATATATGACAGTGTGGACTCAGTTCAAAGCAGATATTGTGTGAATTTCTGTTTTGATATTCTGGGTTATATGACTGTGTGGAAGGGCTCTGAACCAAAGCTTATTCAATCTGGAGCTCTTGGTCATAGATCCTTGAAATGAAACTTACAAGAACCAAACATCTAGGAACCAGTCTGTTCACTTCTAGGAACCAGCCTTCCTGTTAGTACAGGCAACAAGTATGAAGGGAATGATCAGAGAGAAAGAGAAGGAGATTCCAAGTCAGGGGCCCCAACTTTAAATACATTCCTCTCCTCTCACCTGAGAGTAATCTGGCTCTGAAGACATTTGTCTAATAAAGATTTTGTCACAGTCATTTGCTCACACAGAGCTGCAACTGCTGCCTACTTCACTCCATTCTCCCCTGACTTCTTGTCAAAGGTAGGGATAGGAGTAGCTGGAGTTACCTTGTTCTTGTTATCTTAAGTGAATTTCAGGTCTTTGCTGGTGCAGTATTGGCATCTGAGAAGTTTCCTGAACACATTCCTGCTTTGTGTTCTAGCCTTGCCTGTGAACAAGTCAAACTGCTGTGAATGCAAATAGCTGTTCTCCCACCTGAGTAAAGAGCTTCCTAGTAGATATGTAAGAACTACACCTACTGCAGGAGTAGTACTGGAA